CATCATATTAAGATAATAAAGATTAACTTTGTAATTTTACAATAATTAAATTACTTATTTCGCTTTTAAACATTGAACGTTTACAATGTGCAACCAATACAATTATTCCCCTCTATAAATGCATCCCCCATAAATGCACACTCTCATCCATTCCCAAGGGGGCGCACTTATGGAGGGTTCAGTGTACATAATCCATCTTATAAAAAAGTTAATATTATAAAATAATATTTAACTGATTTGATGTCATTGCCTTCATCACTTGAATTTACATTTCCTTGATCCATTATCCTTTCCTTAAATCCATTATCCTTTTCTTAGATCCATTATTTATTTTTTCTGAGCTAATTTAAATAATGATTCAATTAAAAAGTGGGCATTTACATTAAAGAATAATATATATTATTACTCACACAAGCAAACATAAATGTCTATAATCTCTGCATGCAATCTTCATTGAGAATCTAATGACCAAGTACCTTCATGTTGTACATCAGGAAATTAATTTAGCGAAAGCTTGCATAAATCTTATGATGCTGACATAATATTGCATAAATCTTACAGTGCCAACATAAGTTTTACACTTTTTTATTATTAAACTTATGATTGACACATGCAAATTTTTTTTATGTAATTTTTATATTCTTCATTTTTTCTGATGTACAAACTTAATTTTAAAATATATTAGATAAAATACTCAGAATAAAAATAAGATAAAAAATTCTAAAATTCTTCATATTTTCTTGGCTAATCAATGATTTATTAGTAGTTGAATAAAATTTGAATCATATGATGATGAAATCATTTCCCATGTGTCATCATTGAAATTATCTTTAAGCAACAAAGGTGAATCATATTATCTATGATACAACTTGACAATGGATCATCATATTCATATATTTTTGGTCCAATTCTCTCAAAATGAAAATATTTTCTTATGAACATTTATAGTGGATGATGTCCATGGATAATCCTTAACATGTTCATCCTTAAAATTATTTTTTAAATATGATTAATTGTAAACTAAAGATGATCAATGTTATTTAAATAAATGGGATTGTTGTTATGTACCTGAATATTCATTAATTCTAAATTTGACTTTATAACCAATCCATTTTTATGAAATCCTAGTATACATGCCACCCAAATTCCAAATTATTTGGGATTATGGCATTCCAAATGCACAAACTAAATTTGGGGCATCCATTGAAGAATTTCCAAATTCCAAATGTAGATCAGTTTTCTTGCTCAAACAATAAGTGCCTGTAATTTGTGAGGATGATCAGCAGTCCCTTTGTTATGCTGAATGCTTATTGGACAGGATAGCAAGTACAGGAATCTGTTCTATATTTGGTGTTGTGCATTTGGGTTTTGGGATTTGAGATTTGGGCAGCATCTATAAGTCCTAGATAAGAACTGGTAGTTGTCTATATTATAATAAATTATAAAGTTACAAATTATTAGTATCATAATACTAAAAAAAAATATAATATGATGGCTTTATAATCATAAAATATTAAGCAAATAACCAATATTGTCTTTTTTTCCAATTCTTTTTTTAATTCCACAAGTTTTTTTTCTAAATTTTCGATTTTCTTTCAATTCCTAAGGAGGATAATTGTTTTATATAGGTCGGATTAAGGGTAGGGGGAATCACGTGGTAAATTAATAGTAAACAATGGCTCAAAAAAAATTTTTTAATGTTGATCATCATAAATAATTAATAATAATAATAATAATAACGTAAAATAATAACTTAACATTATCAGCATTAACACTTAATTGATGATCCATCTATGAATCAGAGAAATGTCAATCAATTTATTATAAAAATGTGGGGGAAATTTCATATTAAATGATCGGCAAAAAAAATCAAAAAATCATTAATATTTTGAGTAAAAAATAAATAAAAAAACTATATATAGTATATATTAATTATTGCATTCATAGTTTTTTTTATTTAATAATAAACTCAAAATAATAATAGGATTTGTCTTCCATTGTATTCAATCTCCCATCCAGGAGCATGTTACTAGATTGTTTGTTAACAACCATGCGAATACACTACCCAACAAGTCCTGTTTAACAAAGGCAACATTATTCTATAACATAAAAAAAAATTGTTTTTGTTTTTCCTCTGCTTTTCAAACTTTTGATAATGAATATCAAAACCTTGCATTTAACCATATATCACAACAACAACAA